CCTGGGTGTGGTGTGGTGTGTCTCATGATAATGGTGATAAAGGGAAAGGGAGCAAACTCAAACCCAACTCTAACCTTGCCTGGCTTTTAGCCATTCTTGCCTGATTTGTTGTTTGATGCTATATTGAATAAACCATCATTGTCCTAAAGAGGAGCTGGAGTTTGGATTCATTTAAAGACAAATCTTCAATACTCAAGGACTGGCTGAGAGCTTGTCAGAAGGCCGCAAAAGGAGATCACATGACCTTGGGACACAGCAAATGGTCATAAGTGTGGACCGGTTGCCGAGCATCTGTATTTTGATCCACATGATCATGGGGATGCTACAAAAGTCGCAAATGTGAAAAATGGTCATGGTCACTTTTTTCAGTGACGTTGTAACTTCGAATGGTCACTAAATGAGCCGTAGTAAGTTGAGGACTACCTGTACTTTGTTTTCAGAGAAAGTCTGGGTCCTTAATTATTTTCTTTGATATGTTGAGTTTTACCAAGGCAACATTTGAGACCATAACCTCCCTTGTACATAAGCAACAATGAAATCATTTCATGCCCTTTTATCACCCCAGAATAAACAAGTGACTCAGCCTTAATATTTCCACCTCGCCATCCAGAAAACAAAACATTCAGATGATAAGTTATTCATTTGCATCTTGGATCCTCGCTGATTTCAGATTTAGAGGCAGACTTGGTAGCACGACTGGACATATTTTCAGCCGAAAATGGTTAAGGGAGACATTCATGTCCTCCTTCCCACCTCCGTATGTCACATTATATGTGATTATTCCTCATCTTGATTTGTTAATTGTGAGGCAGTAAATAGACTACAACCAATGCTCTGGGGAAAGAAAAGATATTTCCTAACACTTTTAAAGTAAATTTTAAAAACCAACATTTCCATGCCTTGCTCAGAGTTTCTGGCGTTTACCAAGCTTTTGTTCTTTTGTTGGATATAACCAAACACAAGATATTACTTCAGATAGATAGGAATCACCCTCTTTGTTCAGTCATGCTTGCTTGGCCAGTTTTGGCTGCTGCCTGTTTATAGCATTTACTGTTAAACCACTTCATGGTACTTTACAGCCGTCTCTGAGCAGTTTACAGAGTTGGCATATTGCCTCCCAACAATCTGAGTCCTCATTTTATCAAGCTCAGAAGGACGGAAAGATGAGTCAACCTTGAGCTGCTCAGGATTGAACTCCTGACTCTGTTAGAATTAGTCAGTTCTATCCCAAGAAGGCTTTCTGCTATATATCAGCGGCCAAGGCCCCTCTGCGGACACTGCCCTGTCCACATTTCGGCCAGGACTTCTCAGTGGTATCTTGGTCACATTGCAACTTGGAGGAGGAACACCTCAGCCAGGTATAGAAGCTCCTTAATGAGCGTTCAAACTCCCTTCTGACTCTTATTCTGTTAAAATAAAAACCCCGTAGAGGATTTTGACTAAGTGAAATCAAATCACATTCTGGCTTGTCAACCCAGCCAACCAATAAAATTGAATTCTGAGCTTGTAAAGCAGAATGCACCTTTAGCCTAATTGTGTCATGCTGTATAACTCAATTCAATGTACAGCCATATTCTCTTGAAACAAAAAACAACAGAGTTAGGGGGCATTTTAAGGACTTTATTATAACAGTAATCGCGATGGACCATAGGGTCTTTGTTATATTTTATTAGCCTATACAAAATGGACAACTACATGAAGTCTGATCTGCAAAGCAAGATCTATAATAATAAAATTTAAACTAATTAGTTATGTGTGAAGTTATTAATCTATTGGATCATATGATGTGGTAAACTGCAATAAGGACAGTAGTGGGATTCAATTTTTTTTACTACTGGTTCTGTGAGTGTGGCTTGGTGATCATGTGACTGGGTGGGCATGCCTAGGTGGTTATGTGACTTGGCGGGCATGGCTAAGCGGTCATGTGACTGTGGGCGTGGCCAACACATCACTCACCATGCCTGTTCCCACCTTCTCAACACATCTAAAACATCTCTAATTGTACCGCAAATCTCTCTTCCACAGCCACTGTCATCACCACGAAATCTGCAATGCCTCATTTGAATCTCAAGTAGGAGGGAACACAATATATGCACAAGTGGCATTTATTTGCCATTGTAATTTCATCAAATAGTGACTCCATTACTTTTAGGCAGCTGGCAAATAGCTTATCCTCATTCGTGGAGCACATACAGAGTAAAACTACATTTGTACAGAAAGAATTGCATATTCCAGTTCAGTGACGCACATACAGAGAACATATAGCCTCCCATTTGCTGAAACACCTGACAGGCTTCAAGTTGGTTTTCATACACAATTCAAATTGCTGCTAGTAATTTTTAAAGGTCTAATAATTCAGACCTTGCAGTATTCCGCCCCCCCCACCCCCCGCCTATGCTTATCAGCTTAGATTTGGATGGAATATATTGGAGAGATAAATATTTTGTGAGAAAATGTACTCTAAAAAAATCAGTTTTAGTGTCTTGCAAACAATCCAGGAGAGCTTATAGGTTATTAAATGTGCAAACTGTCACAATCTACAAGCAGATTGCACAAATGTACAAATTACTGCAGAACTAGGATTTAGGCAAGAGTTGATACAAACTGGAAGAAGCTTGATCTGTCCATTTTTGGTTATTTCTGAGAAGGCTTACATGGTAAAGACAATTGTGTCAAACTAAATTATCCGTTCCTTTGGCCTAAATTTATGAATGAGCCTTTTCCCGTCTACTTGCAACTGTTCCATTATTGATCTGACTAGGTATTTGGTGGAAGTCACAAAAGCAGAAGGACTAAGATAGAACTTGAGTTCTATCTAGTTATTTTCAATCAAGTCCTCTTCAATCATCCCTTAAGGCTTTGCTAAATGAATAAACCCTACCAACTCCCTGCCTGCCTTCTCTGTGCAAACAAAACAGGTTGTTGCTCTTTACTCTGCAGCAAAGCAAGAATTCTGGAGCTGGAGGTCTATGGAGATTGTCAGTCATCCAGGTCACGATTGTCGTCCCAAAGGTGCTTTTTCAAGAGGCAACTGGACTTTCTGGTTTTTCTTTGAAGATGCTTCGCTTCTCATCCAAGAAGTATCTTCAGAGAAAAATCAGAAAGTCCAGTTGCCTCTTGCAAAAGCACCTTTGGGGTTCTGAAGCATGAGATGACCAATTAAATAAAGTTTCATTTTATGAAGTCATTGTGGGCACATTATTTGCATTGGTGTAATTAAGAAAGCACCAACATTTGCTTGGTGAATTATTTGATGAGATTATTGCATGGTACCCAGGGATTCCCAATATGGAAAGTGGGAATGGGAGCATTTTAACAGATCTATATGTTCTTGGGTTATAATTTTCACTAGAGAACCATGGGGTGGAAAGGGAAATGTAGACAACGGAGTCCAAATCCCCTTTCTCAACAGATTGGAAGCCATCCAGAGAATGATCGCTACCAGTTTGCCTGAACCGGTCAGAACTGGCTGAATCCCACCACTGAATAAGGATCCACTGAAAATCCAGAATCTTTCATAATGTTAGTGTTTATTATAAGCCATGAAATTCACACATTGTCATGGTTAAAACAATTGTATGTGACTATGTCTCAAGGTTGTTTATGTATAAGAATGGCTAATATGGATGCATCCTTCTTCCCCCTGAAGTCACTAATGAAACATTAATGAATATTTTTGTCCCATTGGATTTGAAACCTAGAATTTGGGTCTCAGAAGATTTCTTAGGTTCCTCGTTCTCCATCTTTCATATATGAAGTTCTGCGAATCCTTCCATCAAAGAACCTGAGTTTCACCAAGTTAGAAATAAGCCTAGTTTTTAGTTACTGTATATTTTAAGGTCATATCAAAAGCAGTAATGTTGTTGAAAATAATGTTTACTGCTATAGTTATAAGAGACAACTAATTTTTGCTGATTTAGTGAGACAATCATTCCTTAAACACACATCAGGGAATACATTAAAATAGAGGTTGTTAACGAACACAAAACATTTTGTTTTCTAAAATTTGCTCAGTTCTCCACATTCAGCCAACTTGACTCCCCCCTCCCTCCTTCTCTTTCTCATGGAGTCTTTCCCAATTGTGAAATAAATTCTGTCCCATTTGCAGTTTTTACCTGCTTGCACATCACTACAAGCCACATCTTTTCATGCCATATTCCCATGATGCTACTTTCATCTCCTTCTCAATTCGTGAGTGAGACAGGCTTAAATCTCCTTGAGCTACACCAGTATTAAAGGAGTATTTCCCCACTTCTCCAGCATTGTCCAAAGGCAGACTCAAGAGATATAGATTTTTGACCCTAGGGAAGGGAAGTGCCCGACACAGGATATGGGACTGCAGTGAAGTGAACCAGTGTCACGCTGCCATAGTTTTACGTTGGCTCAAAGATGAATGAACAGCAGTCCAGCAATGGGGAATAGTCCTTAGACCTCTTCAATGGTATCACCAATAGGATATCCAACACTGGCTAAATTACAAGTGTACCAAACAATTAGATGTAATAGTAATAAAACATTGTCCGAGGCAATGTTTTATTAAAAAGCCAATAAAACATTGCCCCCAGCAACTTAATGTAATAGTGGAAGCCAATAACAGCATCTGTTCTTGTAAAGGATCTCATAAGGGCTATATGATAAAGCATGTGTTATAAACAGGTGAGTGAGATGTAAGACCATTTTCATTGTTTAAAAATCATTTCATTATCTAATTTTCCAGTGCAACCTCTGGCCACAGATAAATGAATCCTTCCAATTCAGATGTTTTTTTTTTTTTTGCTGCTACTGCAAATGTTCAGAAGTTATATCCAGCTATATCCCATTATGCACATAAAGTTGAGTTGATCATCATTTTATTAATAACATTTTTATTTTTCCAATAACCATTAACCAGAACCTGATTACCTGAATTTATGAATGTATACTGAGAGTATTTACACCAAGACAAATTCCTTGTGTGTCTAATCACACTTGGCCAATAAAGTATTCTATTCTATTCTATTCTATTCTATTCTATTCTATTCTATTCTATTCTATTCTACTCTACTCTACTCTATTCTAAATTTGTTGTGAACTTTCCTTCTAACTTTCAAGTAGTTCTCCCCAAGTCAGTTCTGTTATATTAAGTTCATATTTTGGATGCCCCTCCAAAGAATTTGGACATCCATGAGGTTTACGTATTAATCACATACTACAAAACAACATTGAGACTACTCTTGGATAATTTAGCAAAAGCTCCTACAAAAAAAATATATATACAGCAGTTATTTATCCCAATGTGCCACAAGTAATTAAAGGGAAACAAATCTCTACAGCATCCCAGAAATTCCTACACAGTGCTATAAAAGATGCCTGGATCATCCATCACACAAGCCTATGCTCTCATAGCTTGGGGGTGGAGTGTCACAGACAATGATAGCTTCATCCTGCGATGCTAAGCTTGGCTTGGGTAGAATGTTCCGAAACAAAACGCCGTCAGAGGAGCTGCGTCTTCGGCTGCCCTGCCCTTTGTGATTTTCATCCACCACCTGATATAAGGGCAGCCTGATCTCCTTTGAAATCTGAGACTCCATGTCGCTGAAGGCATTTTCAGCCGGTTGACAATTCAAAGCCTCCTCATAAGTGGGAATACTGGTGGTTTCCCAGGTGCTGAAACAGAATCAAGACCACAAAGAAAATCAGTTGGGATGGGCATGTCCTAAAATTCATTATTTTATTATTATTATTTATTATAAGGTTTATAAAGACAAGCATGACCACTGTTATCTGTTGTAGAAAGGCTAGAAGATCGGGGGCAGGGGGGAGTATCTTCACTTGTCCCATAGATAGATAGATAGATAGATAGATAGATAGATAATAGATAGATAGATAGATAGATAGATAGATGATAGATAGATAGGCAGGCTCGCTCAGGCTAGATAAATGATGGATGGATATTAGATTGTTGTGGTTCACCGGCAGCAGGTGTGGACAGCTGAGGCCTTGGAGAGCGAGGACTCAGATGAGGGGCCTGCATGTGATGTAGGGATGGGGCCAGGACCATCAGGAAGTAGAATGCTGCCTTCAGAGATTGTGGAGGCTGGCAGCAGTAATGAAGAGGAGCCTGTGCCCGGTGCGTGTGTGTGTGCAGGGTTGCTCAAAGGAAAGAGCAGCTGCAGCAGCATGGGCGACTCGGGAGTAAGGCTGCAAGGTAAGGCCCCTTCCTTAAGAGATAAAACCCAGCTCAGATTCTTTGCAGGAAGCAAAAAAGTTTTTACACTCAAGCCTTGTGGACATTCAGGATATCTTGGTTGGTGTTTGGAGAATCTTTGTGTTTGAAATATTTCTTAGTAACTTTATCTAGTCTTCTTGGCAGCCTTGCACAACCTTGGCAAGGCTTGTTCTTATTAGAGACAATTAGTTTGAAACAGCCTTTTAACTGTGGAGGAACAGAACTTGTAAAGAATCATTAAAAGGTTTTGATATTACCTGTTTTGTGTTTATTTCCTTGGAACAAGGTTTGGGTCAGAAGATAGGTAGGTAGGTAGGTAGACTAGAACATCCAGATAGATAGACAGATAGATAGATAGACAGACAGATAGATGATAGATGGATAGAAGGATGGATGGATAGGCAGGCAGGCAGGCGGATCCATCTTGATTCAGATTTGGGGCTGCTACAAGGGAGGACGGGTAACTGTGGGAAAGAGAGTGAAGTGAGAAGGGAGGATAGCCACAACAACATTCTTTCCCCAGAGCTCATGGTCGAGTCGCTGGACGGAACTGACTGGACTTGGCGGGAGTTCAGAATGAAGGTGGATTGGAGAGTGTGGCTTGAGGGTCATCAGTAAGGGGCTGGGTGTGAGTTTAGCAGAGGAACATGCAAGATTTCAGATTCAGGTTTTCCCAAATGTGCCAATATGACTTCTCTAATAAATTCTTACTTGGATGGACTTTGTCTCTGAGTGCTGAATTTGGGATGGAGAGTTTGATTGGTACGCTGACAATAGATAGATATTAGACAGGGAGAGAGGGGGAGATGATAGATAGATGATAGAGATATATTCAAATAGCTCTGAAATTGTGCTTATATATCTCTGGAGATAAGTCATGCTGATCACAGCTTTATAAAGACGAATGAATCTGCCAGTTTTCCAAATTCCTAAATTCAAATCTTTTGCATCTCAGGTTCTTCCTCTGCCATATATGAAAAAATATGCAAATGCTTTATTAGTAAAACCTTATTGTAATGAAATTCTCATCCTCCAGCACCAGCCAAGTTCCATAAGTCATAATAATCTGTCCTTATCACCAGCAGGAGAAACAAATTTGAGGGTGCAGTACAAGTTGCAGTTGAAGGAGTAATTTACAAATGTTGATAACCTCGGTTCAATATTTAAAACAGGGGTCTCCAACCTTGACAATTGAAGTTCATAGGTCTTAAAGTTGCCAAGGTTGGAGACCCCTGATTTAAAACAAGGAAGAATACACAGGGAAACAAGCCCAGTCTGGCAGAGGTGTAATCTAGTCAGGTCAATCTGATTTATAACAATCAATTGCTGTACATATCACAGCCAAGCCCTAAACTCCAACCACCACCCCCACCCTGTTTCCATAACATGGCTATCCAAACAGAATGGAGAAGAAAACCAGAATGCATTTAGCAGAAATGAGGCTTTACAACAATCACTTTCCAGGCTTTGAAGACAGAGTGAGGAAAATGTGAAAGTAAATAGTTCTTTTACCAGCAGAAGTCATAATCCCTTTAAACTGGGTGTGTGTGTGTGTGCCCCAAAGCCTTTATCCAGTACAGATATTACATTGGAAATACAGACGTTGAATGTGTAAGACAGTTTGAAGCTGTCTTTCCCATTCAGCCTCTAAAAGCAAGCGAAGAAGCAGATCGTGCTGCAAATTTCTTCAGTGTTCGTGTAGTATTCACACGCAATGGATCCTCAGCTTTTTCCACACTCTTAACAAACACCCAGTATCAAAACTCAACAGTATGACCACTGATTAATCTTTACTGCATGGGCCATAAAACATACCCATTTTTTTCTATTGTGTTTTACTAAACAACATGGTTTGTGTACAGATAAAACTTTCACATAACCTTTGCTCATCTCATTTCCTCTTTTTCAAGGGGAAAAATAATTTAGAAGTGGAAATAACTGTTGAAATCATCACGAAACCAGGCTAGTCAGGCAGAGACTGCTCTATCTAGACTAAAAGGAAGAAATGGGGAAAAATAGCTGTAAATAGCTGTATGTAATCTTCATAATGTCTGGTACGGAGAATTAATTGGAGAAAGTAATTTTATTGTTAGGTATAAGAGTTACACTTTTAATCTCATCCTTCCCCAGTGCTGGGAGAAGGGCATGCAAGTGAATTAAATTTCTTTATGAGAAACAAAATTCTAACAATTCAGCCATCCTGAGGTTTCACAATGATATTTAAAATGGGCTAATAATACTCTTATTGTGTGACTGTTCGGTTTTGCAGAAGTTGATACACTAACTAATACCAAGTGTCTCAATATGATACCCTCCTGAAATTCGGACTATCATTCTTATTATGTCCAAATACTTGCTATGCTAGCTGAATATTTTGGAGTAGTAGTCTACTATCTAGCTGTCCTTGTTTTGTCTCCAAAGCTAAGCAGGGTTAGGGCTGGTTAAAATTTGGATGTAAGAATTGCAGAGAATAAGGGTCTATTGGCTAAACTAGGAATTTGAAAAATATCCCAGAAGGTAATGGCAAACCACTTCTATATTGACAGTTCCATGAAGTTATCAAAATCAAGCTTAACTTGAAGAATTTTACAACCACGCACCACACATTTATAAGTCATGAAACTGAGGTAGACTATAATGGAGATATTCTTTTGGCAGCACTGATGGCTCAACAAGCACAACCTTTGGTTGAGAAAGCCCTAATGGTCTGCAAGAGTAAATGGGGTGCTGGATTACCCCGAGATAAAAGTCGTGAAAGGAACACCTGTTTCAGCATGCCATTTGGCTAGATGGCTTCTGACAAATTAACCTTCTATTCCTCTCGTCTCTTGCATGATGCTTCTCTTGAAGTAACACTTCCTGACAATTATTTGCTGGCCAAGTTAAAAGGACTATGTTGATCTCTCAGATAGGACTACAAAGACCTTGCTAACCTGCATGTCTGCTTTTCAAGAGGTTCAACTGTGGAGTACTGAAGGTTGCTGGAAAAATGGTACTGGTAGTGCCGGGAAATTATTCCAGCATTGGCTGACCAAAGGAGTCCAAACAGAAGAAGAAGGCCACCAATTCCACAACAGAAGAAGCTGATTGATCTGAGTACAGGACTGGAAGAGGAAGCCCTGGTCATAAGTTCCGTTTCTCCTTGAGGCGTGACTTTGGGGTCACTGCTGGGTGCAGTGACCCCCATTTCACTGTCGCTCCACCAAGCAAAGCACAGTGTTCCCGTCACCAGCAGGATAGCTCCAGCGATGGTCACTCCATGACGCAAAGAAGCTATGGCCATGTTAGAGACTGATACTTGTAGGGATTATAAAATACACAAAGGTATAGGTCCTGGAGTCAACACTCAGACTGGAAAAGAAACAAGAAAATGAATGGTGAGTAGATACAAGCAGACCATAGGACAAACAAAACAAAAGCACAAACTTTAGATTCAAAGAGAATCAATTAAGATTTACCTTTTGCCTTTCAAAACAGCCCAAAGCCTTCTTAATGGAAGGAAAAATCAAATGCCATTTTGTGGCTATTTTCAATACAAAGTTATACCTGGGAGGCAAATTTACAGCTTTTGCGTTTGAGATCAATCAAATGGATTTATAAAAAAAACTACAATTTACAGCAAATTCATTTTATATGCACTTTTTAGATTAAGTCACAGAATTTGAAAAAAAAAAATCAATATTGAGAATTCCCACTGTCTTACATATCTACCTATATCTTGATTACCTATATCAACATTAGGTAATCCAATTTTTACAGTACTTCATCACAGGTTCATTTTAAACTTTTCATTCAACTTTGTCTGCTCAGAGTGAAATATCGAGATGGTATTCAGTTCAGCTGTGAAGTCAGCTAAAATCTGACATTCATCTTAATGCAGTATTCCCTTGCCATATGATTTTTGCCTTTCAGATGAAAAGATTAACACAAAAATCCCTTTTGTAGTTAACAAAAGGGATATAAAGGGTATATATGTGTATTCTAAGCAATTCTGGAGGAGATTCAGATTTGAGAAGCCAATCAATGTCATTTAATAATACATAACGAAAGTTGTGTTATACTTTTTGATGCATATTTTCATTACCACACACGCACACGTCAATTCCTATCAAATCTCAAATTATACCATAACCAAGGAGAGGAACTCACATTTGTTTTGTTCTATGAAATAAAGTAAATGGAATCTTATTGGGATTAATATTGTTCTTATCAAGCACATGTTTACATTTTTGTGATACATGGATGGCATTGTTTTCATTAAATATGCTGCATGACGTACAATCATTAACATGCAATTATATGCTAATAGATAAAATCCATGTTATCTTGTGTTTTGATAGCTTTGGGGTATGGGATCCCCTGCTTTATGGTTGTTCTCCTTTTTCTATGTTTGGTTCCAGTTAGGATTGATGGGACAGAGAGGTCACGCCCAGGGCCCTTCATTTATATGATGTCTCAGAGCTCTACCTTCACCTTGTTCCTACTAAGCATCTCTACTTTAATTTCCTGAAAATGTTCTACTGTCACTCTAGTTTCTTTCTCTTACATCCATTCTTCCCAAATTCAATTCTTGATACTACCAAGAGATTGATTTATGAATCTTTCACTGCATAGTTTATTAATCATCTCATTTCTCCACAATAAGCAACACTCTCTTATGCTTTCAGATTTATATACATTCCTTTGCCAGGTAACTGTAGGAAAGGACTTGTAAGATCCAATCTGGGTCAGCCACAGGAACCAGAGGATTTACTGAAGAAATCTCTGGTCCCAGTGATCGACCCAGATTGGATCTTGCAACATGATCCTGGGACATGGATATTTGCCTTCATTCGTGAAAAGACGGGTTTTGACATTCTACAGAATTTAGAAACTTGAATTATCCAGGATTTTTAAACTCTGGAAAAAATTTTATGAGGATGAAATTAGCACTTTTGTACTCATTTCTACACTCATTTACAGAGATGATACAAGGCATAATTTTCAAAGGTCAAAGAGAGATTAATCAACCCCAATCTACAAACAAATTTCCATTCTTAGAAAGAACTACCCCTATCCAATGATCAATAATTTGCAGATTGAGGAAGATTTTATACTTTGCACATCCCATATTTACAACTGCTAGCACAGTAGCTAAATGTTGAAATGAATTCTCTCTCAAGATGCACCCCTACATCTATGTGCAATGTGAGCACTGTAATTATATGGGGGAGCTACTAACAGTGCAAAAAGGCTTGGTGTGAATCAGATGTTAATCATCATACATGTGGTTTCAAGTGAAATAAAAGGGCAAAATGAAATAAAGAAAAATAGTGTTTCAAAAACTAGCTTAATTTGGTATTCATGTCAGCAAGACATAAAAATTCCATTACTGGTCTCTAAGATCTCATTTTCATATATATATATACAGTATATAAGGGAAGAGAAAGAAATATATCTATATATTTGGTTAGACATAATATTTGACCATAAATAGAGGTAGACTTTTGTTTATTTATTGTCAAAACCTGGTAAAGAGCATCGCTGTGAAAGTCTCTCTGCTCTGCATTCAGAAACAAATGCAAAAAGTGTAGATCACTAGCTAGATCACAATTAGGAAGCCATGCATTCCAATAATTCTGCATAAACTTGAGCAGTGCACAGGAAACGTACAAGTAAAGAACAAGATTCAACTCCTACATGTTAGTCCCAAAGTTCAATTCCTGGACCTGTCCTTACTAACTTTTTAAGTTAAAAGGAGGCCTCACTTACTGACCACACATTCCGCAATTGTTTCAAGTGGTGAAAGCATGATATTTATGACCAGTCCTCAAAAGTTCTGGCTTTGCAACTGACTTGCACTTCCAATGGGTACAGTGGGACCACAATCGCACGATCGCCGTTGACTACTTTTCCTGCTGGCTTCTCACAAGCAGTCAATGGGGAAGCTAGCAGGAAACTTGCAAGTTGCTCTGGTAAGTTGACCCTTCCTTCCTGTGCCAGCATAGCACCCTATCAAACCTCCACCCCTGGTCTTCCCACACTCGTGCACCCCCTGCTCCCAAGCCCCCACGCCACCCCACTGAGATTTTTTGCACTCCTTACCTGGTACTCCTGCTGCTTTCGACTTAACAACCCATGCATCTTGTGGCTAATGGGAGTGCCAGGATTATTTTTGCTAAGCAACGCAGTCATGTGATATTGTACTTTGCTACCAAATCACTTAGTGATGACAATCACTAGTCCCAATTGCCCCTCATAACTTGAGGACTACTATGATGCAATTTTGGATGCTTTTTTTTCAACCTTAAAACTTTCTGCCACCCATTTATCAAATGTCTCTTTCTGGCTTGAAAATCGGGGGTTCTCATTTCACCTGCTTCTAAAATATATTTTCTAAAACAACTTTCCTGTTGCTGTGTTGGTATTGCATTTCCCAGAATGACAAAAATCCATGATGATGCAGAGGGATTGAAATCCAGAAAACCGACATTCATTAAACCTATGACAAGCAAAATTGCATTTCATTTGAACTGGGCTATGGGTAACTGAATTATGAAGCACTGAAAGAAATCTTGCATGATCTTATCCTTATCTAATGAAAAGATATTGTAAAATCAGGTTTTATTAATATAGTAGCGACATTAGGTTTATTAAAGCTGCAGATAGGATGATGATGGAAGTTAATGAATCCAGTATGTTGTTCCAGTTCTAGATATGGATCTCTAAACAATGAATCTCGAGTCAAAGAAAGTGAAGTTGCTGTATAGTGTGTCCTCTGATGAAGGACAAAATATATACCCTTTAGCCAAAAAAGGAAAAATCAAAGCATCTATTAGCCAATTATATTTGGGGGAGGGGATAGAGTTAATCCCATCTTCATTAAAGTCTTTTCCTCTCTATTTACTTTAGTTCCCAGAAAATCTTGGTGGCACAGATGCTGACATCTATTAAATCCATTTGGACCTCTAAAGTTGGAGTTATCCTTGGTAACATGTTCAATTTGGGTGGCAAAGAGGGATAACGGAAGAGCTTTTAGCTTTGAAACTGGCATAGGTCACCTTGTGTCCTTAAGATATTTGGAAAGATTTGTGACTCAATGGTTAGGACTGTACAAGTAGTACTTTGAGGAAAAGAAGCATATGGCCAAAGCTTCATGACCCCAGCTTTATAACTTGATGCAAGAATTCGCTTTATTGAAACAATTCATACTGATTTTATAGGAATGTCATGTTGTAGTTCTGTCAACTCCTTCTAAAGCCTTTAGAAGGATTTACATTATACAGGATTGCTTAAGCCTGAGTGCCACATCTGAATAGTACCAATTAATTAATGTTATTGAAATAGTCTGTTTTCAGTAAATTGGATTACAGGATCAGGCTTCTTGCATCTCAAGACTTTCATAAAGTATCTCTCAATATCTTGGATAATCCGGATCAAACTTTCAAAGCCGAAGCTGTTGTCACTGCTTCCCCTTCAGCCCTTCTAACCAACTAGAAAGAGGGAACATTCACAGATTAAGGCAGGATGCATTCCTATTTTATCACTGAAAGACCAGAGACAATCTAGATTCTAGATCCGGAACCAGTTATCATTTTGCCTGGGGCATGTTCAATTTTTAAAAATAAGTGGGAAGTAACCAGTGACAATATTGTGAAGGGTGGAGGCAATGTTTTTCAGTCAAATTTTTCTGAAGTGGCACGATACAAAATAAGTTAGTTAAGTTTCAGCTGGATCAATTTTGCATCTTGAGACCAAAAACAAACCCTTTTAAGATCAAACCGCTTCAAATGATCAATTTTGTAGCCGGATTTTCATGGAGCAAACTGGGAATGATCTGGGAGCCACAAAACAGTCACTAGATTGCCTATTGCTGCAGTCCAGTCTTCCACAACTTGGTGCCTCCAGACTTAGGGACCAAAATTCAAATAATCTTAAGCTAGCAGGGCTAATGGTCAAAGATGATGAGAGGGGCAAGTTTTACCATATCTGAGGAGACCTGAATGGGTGAAAGCTCCCAATCACAGGCTTTCCAATTGTCCTTTACTTCTTTGAAAAACAATGTAAGTTTTTTTTTTAAGTTCCACCACTGTCTCATAAAGAGCTGGTGGTTGGTGGTTCCTAAGAGGGCCACATCTCACACAGACTTTCTCAAAAAAAAGAGTCCTGCTATGCTCAATGTCATTTAGGAAGCATAAACAAGATAGAATCCTAAAACCTTGCAATGCGGAAGTCTCTGATTCAAACTTAAACTCACTAGATAAGAAACTAATCAGGCAATGTTGAGTTGCACTGGAAAAAGTCTGAATTGTTTAAAAATCATTTTCTTCTTCATTTATATCTTCGCAATGCCCTAAACTCTGATGATAAAA